ACAAACTTTTTACAACTTTCTTTTATCAAAAGACATTTTTTAGCATGAAATGTTTTCCTTACTACTTTAAGTAGTTTTGATTAGAACTTAAAACTATTACTTTAACTTTCAATGAACACTGAAAAATAGGCTACTGTAAACTGTTACACTAGCATTTTTCAGACTGATACATTTATGAACGTATATTATCATTTTTGGAAATGTGCTTTATAGCACAATTTCTTATTAGGCACAAAATATGTCTATATAACTTAGCAAACTTTAAGAATTTTGGTTACTACAAAAATTCTCAGGCTGTTTGCATATATATATATACAGTTATACATTAATACAGTATTATTATTAAGATATTTATTTGCTAGGCTTGTTTACTTATTTTTAGCAACTATGCTAAATTACTTACAAAACCTTTACTGAATGTTACACAAAGCCAAGCTTTTAAGCATTTTATTCTTAAAAGATTCAGCAGATAACATTGACTTAAATGACTTTAGGTAAACTTAGACAGTTGATAACAACAAGGACATGCCCACCTCAGCTAAACTCAAATTAGCATTAATGCTTACCATTTTTTACTAGATTCTCTGGAAGTTCTAGAATTCTCAATCTTCACAAGCGCTTGTTTTTAAATAAAATATTTTTCATTTTTACACTTAGACACACAAACGTACAAACTGAGATACCACTACAGTCAGCAACACTTTTTTCATAAAAACATATACATAGATAGACAAACCGATACAAAGACTTAAGTCACTGATATCTAATTGCCTTCTCTCTTCTCAGTTTCTTGTCTGTGGCTTCTGGAACTAGAGGGCGGGAGGGGCGTGTTCTGGTGAGGGAAGAGGGCGGTGAAGGTGGGAGGAGAGGGGGAGGGGTGGTGCAGCCACCGGAAGAGAGCAGGACAGCGGCATGGTTGAGAATGTAGGACTTTAAGATGGAGGCAACACGTGTGAAGACAAAGGACTAAAGAGGGGGGGAGGGGATTGTGAGCTGAGGGAGGCAGGTGACTGAGGTTTTCTGGCAGATCTGAAAAGGAAGGACTGAGCAGAGTAAGAGGCTGACAATCTTTAACTGGAGATTGGGCCAGAAGAACCTGAGTTATATAACACTTAACATAAAGGTCTTGATGGGAGTGCAAAGTCCAAAAAACCTGCACATATGGGATTTCACTCCACTTTCCGCTCTGGTGGCAATAATTAGTTAAGTTGGTGAGGAGGCTAAAATCAAAAGTTCCCTCAGGGGGCCAGCAAGATTGATTGTCCAAGGGATACTGAGGCCCGGCCTCAGAGCAAAGGAAGACTAACTTCCGTTTGCGAATTTCCCGGGACAAATATAGAGTAGCCAGATTAGAAATGAGACACCGCAGTGGGGTCTGAGCCTCTGCTTTCATGGGCTGGTTCCCCATGTCTGCGCTACTTCCTAAAGAAAAATCCCACTGAGAGGAGCGCCCAGCGTCCCAAGCACACCAAGTCAGAGGAAATGGCCTGGGAGCCTGGGTGAGGGACGTTTCCCCCATCACAGGGCCAGGGGCAGGTATCCCGGATGCCTGCAGCGGATGGGCTGGATGCCCAAACCTGGACGTATATACGATTTTGGACAGACCAGGTGAAACGGAGTTAGGAAGGGAAGCAGACTGGGGGAAACTGAGGGACTCATGGGAAAATAGTCCATGCAGTAGAGAGCAGGCTGAGGTCGGTTGGGGAAGGAGGGGGCAGGGCCGCCGGTGGCCAGTCGGGGCCCCACACTCACGCTCTTTCCCAAGTTTCGGCACCATATGTAAGATAAATTCTAGCTGAAATAAGCAGGCAAAGAGAGGCAACAAAGGGCCAGGTAATTTATTTAAATACCCCTGGGTGAGGTTCTGTGGCCTTCTTGTCACAGGCCAGAGAAGTCACACCCAGTCAGGGAGGTGGGGGCTTATAAGGGGTTAGGAGGGGGAGGAGTGGGCAAGCTATCCTAGGGGGTGTGGAGAGGTATGATTGGCTCAAGGTGACATAATAGACAACTAGAAACTTTTTTTCCTTCCAAGAGGGAGGAGGCTGACATCTGGATCTTAGTTGGCACATCAAGATGGAATTCAGGGAGAGCTGTCCCCATTCCATATAAGGCACGGACTTTGGGGTCTGGTCTGTTCTCCCCCTATGGCATCTTTCTATTCTGTTTGCATGTCCTTGTTTTTCCTTTCTCCAGCCTAACACTTATATGAAACTTTCTTTCTCTTTTCTATTCCTGTATCCCTGTTTGGAGTTTGTTACACTTCTTAAATGTGTGTCTTCTGGTATTTTTTATTGTTGTTGCTGTTTTTTTTTTAATTTTTAGCCATTAAGTCTCATATCCCTTTTCTAACTCTGGGACTTCAATACTCTTATTTCACACATTTTGACTGTGTTGTCTGTTAATTTCTCTTCTTCCATTTTTCCCATTACTTTTTGTTCTCTGTGTACTTCAATTTGAGTAGTGCTACTGACTTGTCTTTCAATTCATTAACTTATTTGTATCTTCTACTAAGTCCAATATGCTCTAAAACCAGCCACTGAAGTCGTAATTAAGATCATGTCTATTGGAGCTCATGAAGTTGTTTCTTTTCATTGATTCTATTTCTGTTAAGATTATATTTACATCTATTTTTTTAGTGTTCATATTTTTTTATAACATATTCGTTATAGTCTTTGACCACAAACTTCAATATCTGAATTTCCTGTGAGTCTACTTCTGTTTTCTCATTTCTCTTAGTTATCAGTCCTGTCTTTTTTGTGCCAATAATTTTTATTTAATGCTGGACATTTATGTTTATGAAACTGTAGAGGATCTGTGTCTTGCCAATGGGTTTCAGCCCCAGACAAGTTCACTATGGATTCAGTGAGACCAAAGAAATGACACTGGAACATTCTTGGGGTAAAAGGGTTATAACCAACTTTATTTCCACAGTGGCAGGTCAGTCACTAGAATCCCATCCACTCAGAGCGAGTCTGCAGGCAGCAAGCCAGTCTCTGCCTCTGGGCCTCTCTGCCCCCCACAGCCATCTCAGTCTCTGTCCTCAGCCCTGCCACCACTCCAGCCTCTGCTCTGCTCTCTTGCAGCCGGGCTACCATGTCACCAAGAGCACTGGGTGGAGCTCTTTATATATAATCAATAACAACATATTGCCCACACATGTGTAGTGAGCTAGCGGACCAGGACCAGGTGAGAATCCTGGCTACAGGAACCTTCAGTTTATCCACAATCCCACATTAAAAAAAAAAATAGATTGTTTATAGGGTTCACCTTTTCCTCTGCTAGGTAGATAGATTAGGGGACTGATCACTAATTCAGTCATAAACGATGCCAGGGTGAGGCCAGATTTCAGTTTTGTGAGGACTCAGTTTTCCAGTTTCATATTCATTCTAGTTCTTCCAGTTAAGAGTCTGCAGGTCTTTGTCTCTTTGGAATTTATGTTCTGTGTTTAAGAGGTTTTTTGAATTATTTATTCACCTCCTTTATATAGCTTCAGAACTTCTCAAATATATTAATGGGGAGACCAGTTGTACATTTGAGGTCCTTTAAGTCTTCAGTTTTATTACTCTAGTCCCACAATAACCAAAAATCTCTTCTGGATTCTCTGTTCTGCTGTGGCCCTCTGCCAGGGGCCAAGTATGACTTACCAGCCTCTCACTCTGAAATGTCTCTGATTTCTGCAATTTTCTTTGCTTCTGCAGGTCTTTCTGCCTTCAGTAATTTTTTACTCTTCTAGTTCTGATAAGTGATATCATTGACTTACTGTGAACTGGTCCATATTACCCCCAAGCAAATCTCAAAATTTAATGTTGAGGCAGGTTTTTATTTCTGTTTGCTTTCCTAGCTCTGGGACTATCCCACATAATTTCTATCCAGTTAGTCTTTCAGTAACCATTTTCTCACAGCCCCAGCTCTCAGTAGCTGTGCCCCTGGTCTTAATTGGTTTCATGAAAGTTGGTATTTAGCACTTATTTTCAGGACCCTGCCAGCTCGTACTGTAACTGGTCTTAGGACTCAATGGCCTCTCAGAACCTGATGACATTTTCCAGATTAGTCTTTTGTATACAGAATGGCTGCCTTCATCCTCTGCAAGCCTCAGCTTGTGCCTGTGTTAACTCTCACAGCGCATCAGGACTACTGCCACATGTCGCCCTTACCTGGTTCTCTGATGGAAGTGTGACGCTCTAGCTATATGTCCTGCATTGATCCCACAGCCTTGCTTAATTATTTTATTCTTCCAGACCCTTGCCAAAATAAATACTAACCTTGCCTTATTTAGACCTCTCTGTCCACCTGTCTTCCATAAACTTGTACTTACATTTATATGATAGAGTATAAAACAACTGCAAAGCAGAGAGAAAACTTCAAAAGAAAAACGTTTTAATATAGAAAAATTTTTCCCTCATTATTTATCAGTTTGGATGTGCTTTGCATTCATTGTCTAGGGTGTGAGTCTCAGGACACATTTGACTACAATTCCAACCAGTTTGTATTATAGCAGCCAAACATTTTCTCTTGAGTAACTTTACAAAGAAGAGAATCAAACACATTCTTTCTGAATGTCTCAGAGAAGCTTCCCATAGAGCAGGGAATACATTCTGCTTTTCAACAAAAATGAAACCACAGCTAAATCAGTCATAATACAGAAAAACACATAGAAGAGGAGGCTGTTTATGCCTTAGTATTGTGGCGTTGGTGACTCCAACAGTTTCCTGAAGGCCAGTTCCGTGCTCTCCTTTCTGGACTTCTGGAAGGTGGGCAGTTTGGGATTTCAGGAGGGCTGCTTTTTCTATTGCCATTTTGTAAGCCTTTGAGAGAAAGTTATCTCAAAAGGACACCACCTCCTGCCTGACTTTCCCTCTCAGCCATCAGACTGAGCTAAGGATGTTATATAAACATAAGGCAGTTCTTAAATCATTTTGATCTTTGTTGTTGGAAATGTTGATATGCATATTAAAGGAAGAATATCACCTTTGTAATAAATGAACCTACTTCTCTTACAGAAATAGATGACAAGAGGGTGACCAACACACAAGCAGAAGTAAGTTTTCTTGTATTTTGTATAAATTTGTGTTCAAATCAGTTAAAAACACAGATTTGATGTGACATAAAATATGGTATCAATATAACTGTGATGTAAAAACTGTTTTTCCTGACTGAATGAATACACAGTACAATGGTATTGTTAAGTCTCTGCCTCTGGGTTTCCTTGATTCTCTACCTGTCAAATACTAACCTCTGAAAAAGCTTCTAAAATAAGCCATTGCTTTTAGTGGCAAGATATAATACTGATGTTACCAGTGTAGTGACTGGTTATCTGTGACCGCCACAGGCTGGGGCCAGCCAGTGTGAGGGTCCTGGAGTAAGAAGATGGAGGAGGTGGCACCTCTAGAGGGTCTTTGGTGTATGGAGCCAGAGCAGACCAGGAGGACAGAGTCTTCAAATACACATGGAGAAGTGATGATAGAAAGCAGGAACCAGGGGAGGCTGGGGGAGCTGATAATATAAAACATGTAGAATACAAGGAATTTAGGAAACAAGGAACAACTATTGAATAGGATGTGTGCAGACTTACTAGTCAGTTCCTATAGCTGCATGAGTAGGCATACAGTAATACTTAGAGAAAAATGTAGAAAGAACAAGATACCAAATAGTATCTCTCAAGACTTTCTTAAAAATTTAATGAGATTGCACATGTGAAAATGCTTTGAAAACAAAACTCTTACATAGATGTAAGGTAGTTTTTATTACCTAATACATTTTACTGCAAAAGTACAAATCAAACAAGCTTTCTGTAGCATTAATTTTCTACTTGATTTTTGTATATAGAAATAAATGCATAACAAATCTCAGAAGTGATTGCTTCTCAAAGTCAACCAGATGTGACTGAATACTGTAGAGGTACATCAGAAATATCAATCATCCACATGTTTAACATTAATGTAGAGTCATCCTGCCTGCAGCTTGTATAATGAACTGGTACAAAAATATTCTATTCTGGAGAAACTGCTTAGCTGAAATGGATTTGACAACTATTTTGGTTGCATTTTTTAATTTGTGATATACTGTTTTCACCTCAGCTAAATATCTACATCTTTATGATACTTTTAAGGGCAATTAAGCTTTAGTATGCAGAAGGAGAGACTTCTGTGGTTCTACTCACTGTGAAACAGTTTGTAGTATTTTCAGGCTCTTTATATCACGTTCTTTCTAATATGCATGGAAAGCCAGAATAATCCCCCAAACATATCCCATAACTATTTATACTTGAGCTTTTCAAAGCAAGAATAATTGCTTTAGACCCTAAAACTCATAGATTAAGACCCCCTACCTTTGCCACACTGAAATACACATTGACACACTATCAAACAGGAATCCTTGACATAATCTGATTGGGGCATAGACCACATACTTATAATTTGCTGTAATAATATTTTATATATATATATATTCATGTATAGATATGTATTTGTGGTTTTGGCCCTAAAATATTTTGCTGTATTCCAATTTTTATAATTTTTAAGGTTAAAAATCCCTCCTTTAAAATTTAATCCTGGCCCAATGTGCTAAGGTAAGATTGTTAAATAGCTGTTTTGTTAGGAAAGTATTTATCTTTTGAACATAGAGAAGAATATTATCTCGACACTGTAATTCCAAATAAATGGAGGTATTGGATTGAACATATCAATTTCAGAGAGTGATAGATGGCATTACTTACCAAGGACCCTCATTATCCATCCAGAACCACTCAGTCGTTTGAACAGGTATAATTACCTCAGAAACATAGCTCTTGAATATACTTTGTCCTGGCACTTACAGTTTTCTCCCAAATGGTAGAAATGGTGTCACTTTTCTCTTTCTTTTTAAAATAAACTGATGTTCCTAGGAAAGAAAAAAATTTAAATGTAATTTCAAGACTGTAGTGGACAAAGAGTGGAATGATAAAATAGCCTCATAGCTTCTAAAACTGTGCTACTAGAGGACATACATATAATTTCTCACTGATGAGAGTTCTATATCATGAAAGGGGAAATCAGCAAGCTCTTTGAAATACGGCACAGTGTTTATTTCCCTCACAGGACTGACAGCAATGTACTTTTTACCCAAATATAAGGCTTCTGCTCTTTCTTCTTTGTCCACAGTCCCAGAATGCCTCCCCCAAGCAAAGGAAGCAGAGCGTGTACACGCCACCTGCCATGAAAGGTACTGTTTCAGGTCGTTTGAGTGCTGAGTTCGTGGCTGGCAGCTGGTCTGTTCTCAAGGGCCGTATGCTTGACTGTAAGCTAGGTCTGGTCTCAGCTCTACAACTCAGAAATGTGCCTTTTAGTAAGAGGTTTTCTCTATTTAAAACTTAGTTTCAGGCTCTTGTCCCCTCCTGGTATGAGCCAGGAGCTCTTTCCTCTCACTTTATTTCTAAATAAAAGCCTGTACCTTGCTCTCTTTAAAATAAAAAACTTAATTTCATCAAGAGTGAAATAGGGGGCTGAAGAAGGGATAGCCAGAGATGTCTCAGGATCTCAGTCTAGAAATTCATATTTTTTAAAGTAATGACAAAGGTTTCCTTTTACTCTTCCTCACATATTTTCTTTGAAGGAATTTTTCCAGAATCCTAATTACTCTTGATAGTGCTGGCAGATAATTGTCATTTTATTTCCTTGGCTGAAGCAAAGTAGGATGACTTGAACTATGGGGCAGATTTAATGTAAAGTATTGTTTCATTGTCTTGTGTCAAGAGCAGCTCTAAGAAACCTACTTGAACAGCTATTAGCTGTACATGTGACAGCTGTTGAAATAACAACTAAGAATGCTAGCTCAGATTCAGGCATTTTCCCAGGATTCTCCCCCAAAATTGGCACTGCTAAAAGCACATCTAAGTGTATCAGAATTTTGATCAACATCAGTTACATAGAAGGTTTCTTTTATTTCACACACAAAAATGTTCCTGACATTAGGCAGAGAGTGTGTTCAATGCAGTAGCTCATGTTCCAGTCCAGCCCTTGGGCCGTTGGCCCAGTGGTTCAAAACGCCGTCAACCAGCTCGGTTTCAACGACAGGAGAAGCCAGCTGAGCCGCTTCCTCTGGAGTCTGGAGAGATGTCTAAATTGGGAGTGAAATTTTCCATTCTGTATTCTCTCTAGATTTGAGGCCTTTCAGGGAGGTGGGATATAAATGGACAGATTAATAGCTACTTTCAGTAAACTTCCTTCCTGTGCATCCATAGAACTCCATGTCTGCTTGTTTGTAAGACTGTAGGAAATAAAGCAATCACCAGCATTGTGGCTTATTTCAGGGGATTACTGAGGCTATCAGCCTTCCCTCACTGAAGATAAATGTAATCATTATATTTTCCTTATTATAAGTCATCTGGAACTTTCAAGACATCATCTTTGGCATGAATGGGCAACAATGAAAGACACATGTTCACTTATTTAATGATTTCCTCTGTTCTATTTTGGGGTGGCTTAACTAAATAAAGTAATACTGTTTTCATGTCCTCAGAGAATAATAGTATTATTTTTAAGGGAATTCATAAAATCAAGGCCCCAAGGGCTCATGGTTTTCATTATATTTAGCTCTCAAATATCATAGGAATGTGGGATCCTAACATTTAGGGAAATTAGTCATACTGCACATTTTTACATGTAACCTTACTACTGTCAAGCCCTCTGAGATGGTCATTCAATGACAGTTACTTGGCCATAGGGCAAAGGATTGAGAAAGCATAGCTAATTCTTTCAAGAGGCTACCATGGTATAATCTACTTAGGTCCTCATTTATAATGAGTAAATACCTAGGTAAGTCTCCTGCTTCTGAGAAAAGCAAAAAGAAAACTAAATCCATATGTTTTGTTCAGTCTACCTAACCTATGGGCTAGAAATGAGTATTTGAAGACAAAATTGAGCTATGGTAACATATGGTGTGCATTGTGAGCATATTAAGAAGCTTCAATCATAAGAAAGATGAATTAGCAAAGGCAATGTTATTGAGCTGCTTAATACAGTAATACAATTGCTCTGTAATGTGTAATTCTTCAAGTTGCAGTGGAGCATGCAATTATTGAGAAAAAAGTGTGCTGGGAGAGCAAAGCAGCAACAGATGTGACTGGTAATTATGAAAAAAGTCACTCTAACAAAAAGGCCACCTAGGCCTTCACAGAGGATCCAGTGAGTAGTTAGTAAAACACAGCACACACACACACACACAAAAACCAGGCAGACTCTTTGCTTTTTCTTCTCTCTTATTAGGGAGTGAGGAGTTATTGGGTACAGAGACCAAAGTGGCAGGAGGGGAGAGATGCCTCAGCCCACCTTTGCCATTTTAATTAATGCACAGCAGACTATTCTCTTGTCTCCTAAGGGCATCTATTTTTCCCTTTTCCATTTACTATAGTATTTATGGCTCCACCAGATTTCAGGAAATAGAGACATGTCCAAGTTATCTCTTGTGATGAAGGTTTTATATGAAGGTACAGGAAGGAAGAAATAGAGCAGGGGAAACTGTTTTAGTGGGCACACTGTCACGACTGATACGCTGATGGCCCCCAAATTCATACATGCAGTCCTAACATACCTCCTGCACTTCAGATTCCCATTGCCAACTGCCTACTGAATTTCTTCACTTGAACATTTCTAGGGTCCTCAAATTTATTATGTCCAAAACCAAACTCTGGTTCTTTTCAGGTTTTTCCCCATCTCAATAAATGGTATTCAGCTGTTGGATACAAAACTCTTCTGTAATCCTTGACTCCTCTCCTTTACTCAATTCATTGTCTGCTCTTGTTAGCTCTAATTTTAAAATGCGCCCCTCATCTGTCTAGTCCCCATCTATCACCCCACTGCCACTTCCTTGTGCAGGTGCCATCCATTCCTTCTCGCCTGGGCTGTATTCTCCTGGCTTCTGCTCTTACCCCTCTAGAATCCAGTCTCCAGACAGAATGCAAAGTAATTCCTCTCGTTCATAAATGTGATCATGCCATCCCCTAGATCAAAGTCCTCAATGGCTCCATATCATATTCAGAATAAAATTAAAAATCCAACCATGGCTAACAAGTGCCCAAATGAGTTGCATGAGTCTCTCTCTTTGATCTCATCTCCTTTCATGCTGCTCCTTGTTCATGGGTCCAACCTGTGGATAAAGTGAAGGTTCCTATGGCCAGGATCCTCACTTGAACCTAAACTATTTGATGATGTAACTGGCCTGCTGCTAGGTTACTGCTTCCACACCTGTAAGCAATGAGCTATTATTGACTGAGTCACTATATAAAGAGCTCTGCCCAGTGCTCTGGGTGGGGACAGAGACGAAGGAGGATTACAGACCTGCAGACTGTTGGATGCAGATGTAATTCTTGTGCTCGACCTATCATCAGGAGAACAGGCAGGGTAATAAACCCTTTCACCCCAAGAACATTCCATTGTCATTCCTTGGTCTCACTGATTCCATAGTGAACTTGCCCAAGGCTGAAACCCACTGGTAAGACAATTGTCGATAGCAGGATTCATTGTTGACCAAAGAAAAGAAAAGGCTGCGCTCATGGAAAGAGTGTTTCAGCAGCTGTACCTATGGACGGGGAGACACTGAAGTATCCCCCAGTGGACATGTGGTAACTGGGAAGGGGTGGAGGACTGGGGTCCACCCCCAAGAGAAAGAAAATGTGTTGCTAACTGACATGGCGTGACTACATAGTGCTGTGGAAATGGTAAAAGATGTCATGGTAGCCCCAGAGGAAGCAGCATGAGAAGCAGCAGCACACAGGCTGCCAGGTGCCGTGGGGCTGGTGAAGGATGTAGTGGAGCTGTCATCCCCAGAAATGGAGGAGCAGAGGTTTGATGAACAGGTGGGGTAGAGGCCCTGCCGGTGCCATCAGCCTTCCCCTTGGTTTAAACCCCACTTGGTTGAAAGTTGGTGAAAGCCCGAAGGACTTGTCAACTGCGGGTTCTTCCAGGAGAGGTGCAGCCCCCTCCTCAGGTTGTGGAGCCCTCCAAGCTCTGCTCCTATCCTCAGGCTCAAGCACAAAAGGAAATACAATCTGCTTCTTGAAGGAAGAATTTAAAGAGCCCAATGAAGGTCATGAGGACCCAGATGTGGGTTGATTTGAAAAGGTAGAAGCAGACAGAAAGATATTGGATGACTGGAGCTGTGGCAACAACTGAGCCCAGAGCAGTGGTTCTGGCTGCTGAGGATGAAGCAGAAGCCAGAGATAAAGCAACAAGATTGGCCTGTGTGTCTGCAAGACTTTCTGCTGGAGAGGCTGGAGAAGGTGGGTATTATAAGGCCCACCCATGGTTACAATGTTCCAGCTTCCTTGCACAGGGACCATTGCAGAGGATTGAGGGCACATGATTGAGAGGCGAGAATCCTGGAGGTGTGGAGTGTGGATAAAGTGAAGTTTCCTGTGGGTAGGTGAGAATCTTGGCCCTGGTTTTCTAGCTCACCACACACATGTAGGCAATATGTC